ATTTTGACATCTATAAAACGAGCACAACGCCAGTGCCCATACCTTCAAGTCTTTTTGGGGAGCCAATGATTTAGTACATTAAAAGCATGAAGAATCGTGTCTGGGTTGTAGCTAGTACCAATGTTGGCTATTTATAAACTTGCCATTAACTAGGCTAAAACCACAGTTAGTGACAAGGTCAGAACTAGAATTCTGGTTTCTTTACTACCAGTTCAAGAATTTTTTTTTTGCCTTAGTGAGTCTGAATAACAAATTTAACTTCAAATGTAGATTTTTATAACATGACCTGTTCACATGTGAAGCTCTCACTGTCTTGACAAAGCTACTGACACTATAGCTCTTGCAATAGCTCATTCCTCCGTATACTGTTCAAGGCAGGTTCCCCACAGAAATGATAATTAACACTCATGAGCTCAAGCCCCCAAATATAAAATTCTACAGCCCACACTTGGGATATGATTTCACTGTTGACCGTAAGTAACCCCTCAAATGGGTGCCCTGCTTGAATTTCCATGTACAATTAGACACTTCCACTCAGTTTACCTCCTATCAGACTCAAGAGGAACCAAACTAAACCTATCAGCTCTTTTCCTGGCTCCTTCTTCTGATCTCCCCATTTTGGGCAATGCTGGTGCCATATGCCAGCGTGCCCAGACTCAGTTACTTCTGACTTCTCTCTCCTTCACTTCTAAGTCCAGCAGTCTTGGTCTCTCCAGTTCATTCCTTCTCTTCTACCTCCCTCCTGGTTCCTGTCCCAGTCATCTCAGGATGATGAATCCAGCAGCCTCCTAACCTGGGTCCCTAACTCCAGTCTCAGCCTGCTGAAATGCATCTTGTCCTTTACTGGTAGACCACATCATGCCTTAAATGACTTTGGCTGCCTTCCAGAGCTCTGTATTGCCTTTGGGATAAACTGAACATCTTCAGCCTTGCATGTCCCAATTTACCTCTCTGATCGAAATCTTCTCCTTTAGGCACGGGTGTAGCTATCCCTAGACATCAGGACACATTTTCTGCTTTTCCATCATTGGACCTACCACTGTAGTGGTCTACCTTAGGCCCCGCACATCGGAAAGGGAGGGCTCTTACACTACCAGAATTAAAGTATCAACAAAACTCTCAGACCATGATAAATAGGGCAAAGGGCCCATTACTCAAGACAAAATCCCGGACCCGCTTCCTTTACCGTTGTGAAAGAGCAGAGATTACCTGGAGGACCCGTAAATATCATCCACATAAAGTTAAAGATTCCACAAGAAGTTAGAACTTGTTTACTTGATCCCCAACTTTTAAGAAATGTTATGTTATAAATCCTTGAAGTTTAAAATATTTTACTACAGCTGTGTAAAATATTGGCTAAAAAGAACTGATTTTCCCCTTATCTCATGTTGTAAACTAAAAGGATCAATGAAAATTTATCCAATGGGGGGAAAAACCAGTGTTATGCCTTAGTGATCGGTAATGGGAACTACTTCTAGAACATTTTAATAAATTATTTGGAAGGTGGATCAGAGGGCTACCTTAGAGCTTCAGTAAATAGTGGGCTCTACTCAATAGAGAAATATTGGTATTAAAAAAAAGAAAAAATATTCTGAAATTGAATGAGAAAACAGGCAACATATAAGCTGCAAATATACATTTAGGAATAAAACCATAAACGATGCATAAAGAATCCTCTGGGGTGGACCTAAAGGTTATCACACTAAGTTAAGAAAGAGAAAGACAAACATCATATGATAGCACTTACATGTGGAATCTAAAAAAATGGCACAAATGATCTTATTTACACAACAGAAACAGATTCACAGACATAGAAAATAAACTAATGGTTACCGGGGTGTGGGGGATGTGGGGAATGGGGTTAGGGAGAAATAAATTAGGAGTTTAGGATTTGCAGATACAGACTACTATATATAAAATAGAAAAACAACAAGGTTCTATTGTATCTTGTAGTAAACTATAATGAAAAAGAATATACATATATGTGTGTGTATAACTAAGCTACCTTGCTGTATACCAGAGACTAACACAACATTGTAAATCAACTATACTTCAATTTAAAAAAAAGAATCCATTAGGGCTGATAGTTTAATATGAAAAGGAGTATGATAAATAGGAGATCTGCGATATGACTGAATGGGAACAAGGGGTACTCACACGTGATTCTGCATTATCACCTTCACTGTCTTCTAAGTCTGTGCTGCCCAATATCATAGCCATGAGGTATTTTTAAATAATTTAAATTTAAAAAGTTAATTCATTAATTAATACAATTCATTAGCCACATTCCAAATGCTTAAAAGCCACATATGGCTATTTGTTAATATTTTGGACAGCACATATCCAGATCATTCTATCATCCCAGAAAGTTCTGTTGGATCACACTGGTCTAGACTTTTCATTAGCTTCTCTAAGTTATTAACCCCTGGCCTGCTGCTTTCCAGCTTCTAAAACCTAACTGCTCTAGTCTGTGCTCCTGTTCTCCCTTTTCTTGTGTACTATATATTTTTTTAAAAAAAATCACTTACTGTTGTATTAGTGAAGTTGGAGGGAGAAAAAAATACATGTATATACCTAATCTGTTACTTGCCCTGAAAATCTTTGCTGTTTTCTACCTCGGTATGATCTGGCTTTTGAGCTCAGGTTCTGAGGGATCCCTGTCAATCAGGCTTTTCCTCAGTCACTTCAGGGCTTCCTCCTCCTTGGGTTTGCCTCTAAGTTCCAGCTCACTTCCATCAAGCCATACAGTCAGCTGGGGATGGGAGAGGAGAAGTTTTGGCTGTGATCATCTAGTCACATTGGCATCGATGGTAACTTCTCCCCAGTCACCTGGCTCCTGGTTGATAGTCTATAAACATCATGTCTGCAACCTTCCCATCCCAAATTGAGGTGTTCTCCAGATTTTCAGGCTCTCAGCAACATGCTGTGAGCAGACTTCATGGGGCAGCCTGTCCAACCCAGCATTCCACGTGGTTGGCTTTCTTCCTGCTCCCACACCATGCTGGGCAGGAGAGAACTGAGCCTTCCTGCTTCTTCAGGTCCTACTTGGTAGGCAGGGCACAGACCTCTTGTACTCTTGGCTCCCCAAATGTATCTGGAGCCATACTGTTTCCCTCCACACGGAATTCCATCCACTGGGTCTATAGTTGATAAACATTACGCCCTAAGTCATTTAGGGTTCTGGATTCTGACTTTTAAAAGCTCAAGTTATGGTATCTCAAAAGCCATTTCTCTAAAACTATGACTTCTGCCAGAGTTTCTGAAGCCTATTTAGAAACTCGAAAGATGAGAGTTGCATTTTCACTCTGGTTTTTCCACAGTGATATTCTGACGTCTTGAAGGTGGAAGACCCTCACTGCAGCCTGGGTGGGTGGAGTGGGAGGGTTGTGAAGTAACCCCATCACTATTACAACTTTATGATGAGTTTTCTCACTCTATTATCTTCTTATGTATGTAAGATTTGCCTTTTCACCTAGATGTTCACTTTGTTGAGAGAAGAAACATACTTAAGAAGAGTTTTCAGGGAAGAACATTTTCTTATCCTTGTCTGTCCAACATACAAGAATTACTTCATGGATTTGTTGAAGACCTTTAACTTTGTATCTTTATGGTGCATGACTGCCTGGGATATAGTTAGTATTTAAATAATTGGCAAATTTGCTGAACATATCTTGGAATAGTTCCAAAAGAGGAAATAAACATTGACAATACTACCCTTACATAATTAAAACAATTATGCTACTTATATTAACTTTGTACAATAAAATTTTTACTTGGGAAATAATTACATGAATATAAAAAGATGCTAAAATTAAAAAGAAAAGGACCCTTATGATTAATTTTTTTCCCATTTGATTTGCTAATTTCAGGCTCAAGTTGATGGGTCTGTTTTGGAAGCCCAGCCCTTGAGGTCAAAGAGGACCAGTTCTCCTTGCTGTTGTCTGTTGCCTCCTTGCCAGGAACACCAGTGTGTTCCTTTTTTAGAAAATGCAGCTGCTGGTTTCTAGCCTATTCTAGCCACTCCAGAATCCGGTGCTAACTGCTAAGGTGGTGTTGGGTGGGGGATGGGGCTGTTGGAGGAAAACCTCATAGTCAGGAAGGCTCCTTGGTAACTGGGGTAGAGGTAAACACGTCAGTCGGGCACAGAGATATTTCCAGAACGTATTCTAAGTGGGAGGAGAAAGCCATCCTGGGCAGCAAAGGTAGACGAAGATTTCATGGTCCTTAATGATGGGTTGAGAGTCAGTTAAATAATTGACAGCAATGACAAAAATTAATTCAAGTTAAATGTCTTTTGATTGCCTCCTAAGTGCAGACAACTGTGCTAGTTCCCAGGGTTAAAGTTACAAAGATGAGTAAGATACAGCTCTCATTTTCAGCAGAATCTGCCACAAATTTCCTTTTTTCATAACCCACAAGCTGTGCTGCTTCCCCAAATTGCAGCTTCTCCATCACTCTCCATTTCCTCTGGGGCAGAATACAAATGCCTTCGCCCAACTCCCAAGGGCCTTCAGAATCCAATTCCAGCTTATTCCCCCAGTCCTTTCTGCTTACGCTCAGTGTCCTGCACATGCTGAATAGGCCATGCCACCACATCCTCTTGTAACTCTGGGCCTAAGGATGCAACCCCTAGTCTTCAGTTTAACTCAAGTATCATCTCTGTGACTTTCCTCCTGTGACTTCTCCTCCTTTGCCCCAGTTTGTATTAGGGGCTTCACTTCCTTTGTCCCACGGCTATTATAATGTTCAGTAATATTGGAATTGTGTGCAGTTTATTTTCTCCAATAGTAGAAACTTCTTGCAGGAGGGAACTGTGTCCTACTCAGCTTCATACCTCCAGTACATGCCACAGTCCTGGTATATAGCAGGCACAGAATGAAGCATGGCTTGGGGAATGAATGAAATGAACTTACTGCCCGTTACTTTTGATACACCAACTGCCAATTTATAAAATTCCAATCTCCTTCTTCCCTATGGTTACTCACAAATTCTCTTTCCAGAATGCTGTCAGAAGGGTATCTCAGTGGACTTGCCTACCGGAATGAGACCCTCTGGAGTTGTACATCTTATAACGAGCAGGTGGCTGAGGAAAAGGAAGAGGAGACCGAAGCCACAGCTGCACCTGCTCTTTCCTATTCCTCTGTGGATGAAACACAAGTCCAAAGTCTCTATGTGAGCTGCAAATCCTCTGGCAAGTTTATTTCTTCCGTGCGTTCAAGAGAGAGCCAACGCAGTAGAAATCCGAGAATCACAGTGGTGCAGACAAACCCTAATCCTGTCTTTGAAAGCCCAAACTTGGCTGCAGTTGAAATATATAGAGACCCCAGCAGAGAGACCTATTTGGTTCCACCTTCCTGCAAGAGTATTTGCAAGAATTACAATGACTTACATATTGCAGGGGGCCAGGTGATGGCCATTAATTCAGTGACAACAGATTTTCCCTCTGAGAGCAGTTTTGAATGTGGTCCTTTGCTGAAATCGTCTGAGATTCCTTTGCCCATGGAGGATTCCATTTCCACTCAGCCCAGCGACTTTCCACCAAAACCGATCCAGCGGTATTCATCCTACTGGAGAATAACCAGCATCAAAGAGAAAAGCAGTCTGCAAATGCAGAAGCCTATTTCGAATGCAGTGCTGAATGAATACCTGGAGCAGAAGGTGGTGGAGTTATATAACCAATACATCATGGACACTGTGTTTCAGGACAGTTCTCCTACCCAGATTCTGGCATCTGAACTCATCATGACAAGTGTGGACCAAATTAGTATTCAAGTCTCTAGAGAGAAGAACCTGGAGACCTCCAAAGCCAGAGATATAGTCATTAACCGCCTCTTACAGTTGGTGTCAACTGAAATCAGTACTCCTAGTCTCCATATTTCTCAGTATAGCAACGTGAATCCATAGAGAGGATGCTTCTATTCCTCTTTCTCAACTACTCAAATTCTAAGCAACAATTATTCATTTATTCTGAGAATATGTCAGAAAGGGTTATGAAGGGGAGTCAGAGCTCGAGAAATGAAGGTTGGCTGGAGATTCGGTATGGAATAAGAGGAAATCTACTAATATTTCACATGAAGGAATGTGGTAAGAGGAACTACAGTGATTTCAAAGCAAGGGCTATATAGCAACAAAGCAAAACTAAAAATCATCAGAGAAAAGGTATGGTTCATTAAAGGGAATACAGAAATTGAGAAAGACAAGCCAAGTATGAATACACACCACAGCAAAACTAAAAGCCAAAGGTTTCAGGGTATGGAGTTTCGAATAGATTTGTCACCCAAGTAACTTTCTCCAAGTTGTTTCTTCTTGAGGGAAATGTACTGTAGAAGGCTGCTATATTTGGGGAGAAAGACAGGTCCAGTTTTCAAAACATGTTTATTTCTCTTTTCTCTATCCTGTATCTGATCATTTAAAATATATTCTTTATAAATATTAAAACGGTAGCAAATTGCAGTTGTGTTTTTATTTTTAATGATTGCTTAGCTACAACCACAAAACAGCCACTCAGATCTAATTCTGCTTACTGGGGGAGATGAAGAATATGGGGGAATATTCACATAGTGAATATTGTTTTATTTTGCTGTGTTTGGTTTTCTTGGTGGTGCTAAGTGTCAAAAGAAATTTTGAATCTTTTCCCATTTTTTTTCTCTTCCTTTTCTACATGCCCTCTTGACCCTTGTGGAGACAGGAAGGGGTCTTCTGTATCCTCTTACAAGCTCTAGGGTTCCATGATATCAAATTCTGTAGATTCATGCACTAGAACTATAATTTCACGAGAGCCTTACTGCTCTACTCCATTCCTCTAGCTCAGGGATTGGCAAACTAGGGTTCATTGTCCACATCTAGTCTGCCACCTGTTTCTTTTATTGAGATATAATCGACATATAACATGTTAGTTTCACGTGTACATGACTTGCTGTTTGCACATTATGAAACGATCACCATAATAAATCCAATTATATCCTTTTTGAACATCCATGAATTAAGAAATTCGACATCATTCCAGGTGAGTCTTTTCAAATGGTGGATGACAATATCCAGCCTGTGATAAACTCTACTGTCTAGGGTTTCTGCTCACAAACAAGAAGAAATCACAAAACTGAATAGGTCTACTGAAGTTCATGCCACTGCACTTAAGTAGTATATCCTAAATGATTGTTCCCTGGGGGTCTCAAATTCAACATATTTTAAACCTGAACTTTTTCTTGTGTCCTTTTCCACATGTTCTACTTTCTTGGCTTCTAATGTATATTAATGCCACACCATTTTCCCAGGCACACAGACTGCACAGCTAATTCATATCTGTCTATGGGCTAGAGGTGGGTACTTCCCCTCTCCCATGTGGAAGGCTAGAACCAGTTTAAGTTGGGCATTTCACTTTCCCACATCAGTTAAGCTCTAGTAATACCCTAGCAGCTTAGGCTCTGGTTAACCAGTTTGTTTCTACTGAGGGTAGGTCTTGTTAAGACTTAACAAGTGCTCTGGCATATTTCAAAATGGTTCCTTTTCCCTTCCCTCTGCCAGAAGCAGAAGCAGGGTGTGAGTAATTTTTCTCGAATATTTACTGTGTGAACCTGGTCTAGCTCCTGAAGGTAAATCTCACAATTGTGGTGGCCTCCTTATGATTGGGTTCCTCTAGAGTTTTTAACTCTCAGAGTTGCCCACCCTGAGCTTCCATCAGTTCATCAATTTCAGTTCAGGTTTTCCTATCCTGGCACCAGTTTTCAGGGCAGTTTCCACTTGTGAATCTCTGCTCCAATAAGTGTGACTCCCTGAATTCACTTGTCAGTCTCTTCAATCTTGGGGGCAGTGGTTTGACCTGTGTCCTCCTCTCTCTTATTATTCCAAGAATAGTTAATATTTTAGTCTGTTTAGCTTTTCATTTATTGTTAGGATGACTTTCAAGTTCCTTACATGCAGAACTGGAAACTGAAAGTTGTTATGTTTCTTTATATCTTTTAAATTTGGACCCTCCTTTCCATTCCCCTTGTTAGTACCCTGGTCTGAAATTTCATTACTGGGCTATTATCATAGCCATCTTGTTAGTGTCCATCTGAAGTCTCTCTCTCCTTTATTGTAGCCTCACATCACTTCCAAATTAAATGTAACTGATATCATGTAATTTCCCCACTTTGAAGTGTTCTCATTATCTTATAAAATCCAAATTCTTAGCCCTAACACTCAAGGTCACCCATTATTTGTTCTATACTTAGCTTTTCAGACCTTCTCCCACTGCTCTCTCTTCACTCCTAGGAGAACTGGACTCTTTGCCTCTTCTTGAAGACCCCTGGTCCTATGTTTATTCCATCTTCTTTCACTAGAATGCCTTTATATTCCCATTCCCAGTTAGTTCTGAATTTACCCCTTCTTTCCCTGAGCATTGCTGGCAATTCTGACAACTTTCTAAGACAGTTATTGTTCTCTACATTTATATTATTTGTGTACATCTCTTACTGTCCCTGCCAAAATGGCAGTTCTCTGAGGAAAGGGGTTATTTATATTTGTAATCCTCACAAGGGCCTCTTACATTTAGATTATGCTTTTTTAAATGAAAAGTGATTAAATCTTAGGTTTGGATTATTTTGCTTAGGGTGACTGGAAGATCAGAATCGTTGTATGTGTGTTCATTTTGCCCTCTGTTTTGAACCTCTTTCTAAATTCTAACTTAATTTAGGATTGTAGGTAGTTAAGGAATAGGAAAATGTCTGTCTTTGTTCTTTGTGCTATTAAGGCACTGTTGGGAGCTGTTTTTAAAGCATGGAGATAGATAGAAGGCAGAGTTCTCTAATATTTTAAAATTTAGATAGATACAGTATAAATCATTTCTGGAGGTGACATAGTACCCCACTGTAGTACTGTATCTGAGAGGGCTGTTAGGTGAAAGTAATCTTTTCTAAACTCAAACTGACATGGGAACAGTTAAATCTGATTTGTGAGCTACTGAAGTGTCATCTTTTATTCTTCTCAAAGACCTTAACAACTTGAAGGTGAGAACAAAGAGAAGGAAAGAAATGGAGGCTCATTTATTTTTCCTGATGTAGAAACTGATGTTCATCAAAATCTTCTCTTGAATGACTTGCAATGATACAACTGATGGGTCATAAAAGTGTTCACTGAGTTTTGACATATTGGGTCACATTTTAATTTTATTTCTGGTGGATTTTGGAATTCAGCTCTCTTTCTGTGGATGGGATTATGTCCCACTACTTAACAGTGGTCGTATTAATGACCACTAACTTGTACCATGATCTGTCATAATTTCCCAGGTCTTTTTCCCACTTTATTTTATTCTAAGTATATCAATCTAATTCCATATTTATTTATTCATAAAAATATTTTTCTCTACGAAGGGACCAACTCATAGGCTCTTTTAAGAATTGAAACATATTCTTACTTTTAATGGAATTGAATAGTACTCTGAACTGCAGAAAATGAAAATGGGGGGAAAAAAACCTAGAGAATATGACAAGTAAACTATTACGCTTTTTTATTATAACTATATGAGGGAGGTCATTAATATTTCTTGCCATTTCAGAGAATATAATAAGAAAGTCATTTATTTTTTTTAATATCCACTTTTCCTGTTTCTTCATTCATTTATCCATCAAATACTCTCTGAATGCTACTCTATGTCAGGTAGAGTTCTGGGCGCTGGCACTCAGTAGTGGGTTCTTAATTCACAGGGTGACATCCCCACGCCCACTGTTATCTTTATCCACTACATGATACGCAGCACTGATGATGGAGCACTAACATTTAATTTTCTGCCTGTTTAACAGTGTTTTGCATAGTCCACATGTGATAAAGTAATTCTCAGAAATTTATCATGATGTGAAGACATGTAAGCCTGATGCAAATTGAAATTTCTCTTATCCATGCCAGGAGGGCAGCTATTTCAAATAAGCAATTTTTTTTCCATGAAGAATAATACAGAAATTCCGTTTCAATTAAGAATGAGTCGTCCCATAAAAAAACAAACTTACTGTTGCCAAAAGGGAAAGTCAAGGGAGGGATAAATTAGGGATTTGGGATTAACAGATACACATAACAGATACATATAAATAAAGCAGATAAACAACAAGGACCTACCGTATAGCACAAAGAACTATATTCAATACCTTGTAATAACCTATGATGGAAAAGAATCTGAAAAAGAATATATATATATATATATATATGTATATATATGTGTGTGTGTGTGTGTGTGTGTGTGTGTGTGTGTGTGTATACCTGAATCACTTTGCTGAAACATTGTAAATCAACTATACTTCAATAAAAATAAAATAACCAGTTAAAAAAACAATGAGTCTCCCTATGAGAAAACTCATGCTTTGTCCCTAGCAGCTACTTCACTAGTCCTGAGAAAGGAATTCTTGATTAGAGAGAATACTTGTCAGCTTGACAACTATCACGATGCATCTTAGCAACTGGGAAATTTTAGTTTTCTCATCTTTGTGAACAAGTGGTTGTCTTTTATATACCTCTTGTTTGAGTACTGAACTTTCATTATTTCTATCTCCTGAGGTCACCTGGAAGAAATCCGTCCTCTGTCCACAAACTCCACATTTGGTCTTTTAAAATAAATAGCTGTTGACCGATTAACTTTAAGAACCTCAACTAGTTTGTCCCTGCCTGAGTGTTTTTTCAAGAAAGCTGATCTAATCCTGCCTTTCTCCAGCTTTAAGTCTCCAATGGTTTTTCAAGGCCCACCTTAGCTACAGAACCTCCTCTGACCTGCCCTTTTCCCTCCCACTGACAGCCAGAAACTAGATCATTCCTTCCCTGCTTGCTCCCATACCACTCTCTTTATATTTCTAACGTAGCATTTACTACACTATAATATAAGCATTTATATCTTTGTCTTCCTCACTTAGATTTGAGCACGTTGAGGGCAAAGAGAATGTCCTAATTATCTTTGCCTTTCCAGTACCTAGCATGTTCTCTGGCATAAAATAGGCAATAATTAAATTTGCTAAATTGAGTTAAATAAATCCACTGAAAGCTCCCAGTAAAGTCCTGAGGAATTTTCAGGAAACATTAAATTCTTTTTATGTTTTATGAATCTGTACCTTTTCAGCAACCACTTGTTACTTGGTAGTATATTCCTAGTCCAAAGAATAAGTTATCCTATAGCAATTCAACGAGTTCTGCATCTTTTTACTCTTGATGAAGCATAATTGATCATTTACTATATGACAGACTTTACAACATGTAACACAACTATCAGACCCTGCTATGCCCATTTTGTCCTATTTTTCCTTCCCAGCATCTATGAAAAATATGAAATAAATAATTTTGAGGCTACTCTTCCTTGGGCAATTCATTCCAAAAATAATATTGTTTGAAATGGACGTTTTGAGCTCTGGATCAATCAGAATTTTAGCAAATGCCACAATAAGAGTAGAATCCAAAGGAAGTTCACCTACTTGGTTTTCTCCACAGA